GTGCGAATTACTGGCGATTATCGCGCGCGTGCACGAATACAGCTGGATTATTTCTGTCAGATCAAACGATTATACGATAGCCAAAGCGAAGAAACGGACAGCGACCTTGTGCACGATCGTAACGTTAATGTCTCATTCGTCATATTTTATTTTCTTTTTTTGTACCGTACGCCTCGTTTAATTAGCCGCGATACGCACCGAGGGCAAATTAATCGACTGCCTAGAGTACCATTAAACCTACAGATCAAATGCACATATAATGCAGGCGCGCAACGCGTTTGTTGCATCACTCGCACGCAAACTTTGTCACGTGTCTCATTGCATCCAATGACGTAATCAATGTTTCAAAGAAAAAAAATGTAACAAAACTAAGAAGGAAAAAACAAAGGGATGAAAAAATAAGATAATCTAATAGAAGTAAAGAGAAAGAGTGTTAAATCTATATTTGAAATTGTTTAATATTTTCCGCGTGACGACATTTGAGAAAAATAGGTGTAAGCGAGGACAGCTTTATAGCGAGTTACGCGACTTGTGGAATTCTTGTCAATAATCCGACGTGATAATCACTTCTAGACGCCGGCTTGTATTCTGAGAAAATTCTTAAGCCCAATATACATATATATATATGTGTATATGCGAGCACGGCACGTAAATAATTGTCAATATCTGAGGAACGTTTCCTTGGCGACGAGAAGCTAAAAATCGATCATCATCTCTTTTCAGTAAAGATATTTTCTTCGTATCGACGTTCTTCGCATTATTAATCGATCCTTAAGAAGCAAATACAAATTACGTACAAATAAAAATAAGATTATATAAGAAAACGTTTCTTCGATGATTTAAGTACAATATTGCAGTATACCGGTCGGACGCGCGGTCAATGAATAAAACGAAATAATGGGAGATGAAATAGACTCGCGATATCATGATAAGTCTTTAATGTTAGAGCTTTTGCTCTGTTCTTTGTAGCCGAATTTTTTATATCTTTTCTCTTTTTCCCTTCAATGTTTAATTAGATATCTATTTGATTTCGAACGTAGACAGTAAATATATTGTAGCACCTACAAAAAATTCATTGATTCAAGTTGCAATGAAGCTACGAGTCGATAAAGCGCGTAATGTCTACTTGTCTATTCGTTGTACGTGCCACACGTGGTTTTGTCGCGGACACGAGACGCCATCTCGTAAACAAGATTAAATCGAAGATCACGGGTCTTCCACCGCATCTACAAAATCGGCGAGACGTGCGTGCGTGAGCGCGCGTGTCCGCCCACCTGACTTCGAATAACCGCGAGATTTCGACATCGCTCTAAAGATAGGGTGTTTTCCCGCGAGCATATATGTTTCGCCATATAACTCATCTTTACTCGCGGTTCGGCACACCTCGGGCGCTAACTAAGCATCGTCTGGCGTCTGGCGTGTGTTCCGACTCATCCGACTGTGCTTGCATTTAAATGGCGTTTTTCGCCACGGCTGCACGAGCTGCACAACCCTTGCTGCGACATTTTTCGATATAAAGAGCAAGCCATGTATTTTTGATTCCCTCCAATTGAATAATACATCAGTTTCCATCTTTGCAATTCATATTATATGTATAACGTCGATCGCTTTGAAAAAAAAAAAAGAACGTTTTGTATGTAATTATTACATATAATGCTGCCGTGAAACGTAACATAATTTTGTAACGTGATAAAAATGATTAAAATTAATATTGGTTTTTCGATTATCGAGAGTTTTTATCGGATATCAATTTTCTTACGTTATTAAATTTGCATAACAACATTCAACTTTGACGCACGTGTAATTTAATCTCGAGGAACGAATTTAATTTCGTGTAGTATATTTAACTTTGTTCGAAGCAAATAAATATACTGCTCGTTCGTTCGATGAACGCATTTCGACGAGAGCTTTACCTTCCTCGCCGAGAGAGGTACGGTGGTCTCTCTGGTGTATATCGGAACGTCGAGGTCGCTGACGCTGCTGCTGATGCTAGGTGCACGCGAATCGGAGCGCCCGCCGAGCGGCACCGTGAGGTGCGTCGGTCTCAGCGGATGCGACTCCGCGATGTAGCCCTCGCCAAAGTCCTCGTCCTCTCGGTCCATCTGTCGGATAACGCGAGTTTAAAATCAAAATCGCAAAATTCAGTTTGTCCTTTTCATTTAGTAGTAAATGAAATGATTCTATTTAGACTAATAAAAATCAAGATGATAAAATTGATTCGCGCATTGACGTCTCTCGCATTCACAACAGACGTATATATGTGATTTTAGAACTTGCGTAACTGTTGCAATGCGAATGTTTTATCAACAAATATAACTCGCGCGACTAAAAGCATTTGGGGAACAATTGCCGCAATTACATTGTCATGAGGCTCTACCGTTGTCAATTGTCAATTTTCATAGTTTTCTGCGACGTATGTGGCGTACGTAAAATTAGCACGAGTAGCGTGACAACGGTGCGCTTTCCCTGTCAAGTATTTGGCCGACGATCAAGGCTAGTAACCCGATGACATACTCCTCGCACACATGCGTGCTCTTCTCGTCCTACGACCATTCAGGAACGATCGGACGACGAAAAATCTGGCGATTGCAATTTCGCCAAGTTGATTCTACATTCGATCTAGACGTTAATTCCAAGTAGATATTTATCGTTATTTTACGCGTATTTTCCAGAGCTTGAAAAACGTACAAGAATATTTTTTATTATTTTCTCTAAGATAAGTCTGATGGTATTCTACAAATAAAATCGATAACATGTGGATAAAATTGCGTAAATTCTATACATAATCTAGCTGAGAAAACATCGGAAAATTGACGGTGATGTAATCCAAGTCGTGTGCTCTCTCTCGAGAAGTTTTAGTTGAACGGCGGACGATGATACTGACATTTAAATCCTACGCAGCGTCCTGCTAATCCTGCTAATTCTACATGATGTCCTTAATCCTTGACGCAAAAATGAAAAAAAAATCCGTATTATCTCAGAATTTAATTATCCGCGTTCTAAGTGCTGAAGACATTCGCGACATCTTAATCCCTGCGGGGGAAGACGCGTGTTTTAAATAACGAGAGTAGTATTCTACGATTACAATGAGTACAATGAATAATAGGGACGAAATTATAGTAATCCTCGAATTATAAACTTGAGCCTTGGACGACGAAGGATTACCTCGGTAAAGTTCTCAGGTGAGGGTGGTCGAGAGTCTCGAGTTCGCGTGAATTCGATGTCTCGCGAGGGATCTTCGAATGTTCGATGGAAATTTTCGAATGCGCGTCGCACAAAGAGAAGGTGGTTCACGGAGAAAGAGAGATAATCGCGCGACGGGGGATGCTAGTTCGACCGAAATGCATCCGCGCAGCCGGGGGATGCTCTTGAGACTGAGCTTGAGAGGACGCGACGACTCACCGTTGTGGACGACGTAGCCGACGGCCTCCGGCTAGATTTAAATTTAACGCTACGGCTTCGCGTACGCGCCTCCGCCGTTAGACGAATCTCTCTCTCCGAGTTTTATCGAGAAGAGAGAAGATCTCCCTCGCCTCGTCACTCCGGCGACGCCGTTAATTGATACGCCGCGCGATGCTCCTCGTAATTGGTTTCACTTGACCTCAGGATATGCATCGCGACTCCGTTCAGCTCCTGGAGAACAGCGCCTGCAGATTGCGATTCACTTCCCTGAACCTAGGTCGCATCTTTCGCGATGACTATTTTTTTCTGAAAAAAATCTGATAAGAAAAATGAAGGAACCAGAGAAGCTTAATTAAGTAATGCTTAAGACAGGAGCATTCACATTTATATACATAAAATTGTCGTTAATTTTGTTATGACGAATTCGAGAGAGATCTTTTACTTTCTTTGTTATTTTTATAGTTGTTATATCTTTGTTATATTTCTGTAATTTAGTCAAGATTAAGAGAGCGAATTTTCAAGATCTCAATATTTAAAAAATTTTTGTTCTTCCATGTATGTAATTTTTAATTTTATTCTTATATACTCGCAACTCTTTTCAGTACGTTTTGAAAATGAAACATTAGAAAGCGTCTCTTACGTTCTTGTCTAAATAAAATATATTATACGATTTATAGATATCGCATGATTGCGTCAATGAAATATTTACGTCGCGACAAGTAAATAGACTTCCGTCGCATCTATTTCGGCGTCAAGTGGCTCATTTCGAAGTAGGCAGCTAAATAATAAGCTATATATCTACTTATACTCAAACGATACACTAAGATTTTTAAAGATAAGGTTTTTTAGACGTCTCTAAAATTCTCGATAATATGTGGGTAAAATTGCGTACATTCCATACATAAGCCGAGAAAACATCGGGAAAATTGACAGTCGATCGAACGATCTTCTTAAAAACTAAAAATAGCATTTTTTAATTTTAAAAATCGTAATTCCTAGAAATGTAAAAAATTCTTTGAATTTTTATTAATTTAGTATATAGGAATAATTATTTACATATGACAAGTCTTGCATTATACATATGTGTGTGTGTGTGTGTGTTTTATTATATTTTCAAAAATCACAAAAAATATCATTTTTAGTGAAAAATTCTAAATTAAAGAATAATTCATTATTAAAATTACAACGCTCTCGCGCGGAAACTGCAATATCTTGTATGCCGAGCAGCGCTACTATTTGCATGCAGATTTAAATAAACAAACAGATGTTTACGGAATGATATACGAGATTGGCAAAATAACGAATATGATATATTGTATAAAGTACCATTTTCATTGTCGTGACTCGCACACCTCTTAATTTTACTTTAATCGCCATCTGAAATATTGGAAGAAATATCTCTTTGTATTTTCAGTTTTTTACATGATATAAAATTAATATTTTGCAAAAAAATAATGTCTTATTAATCACTATCTCATGCTATATTATTAATTTCACTTAAATTAAAGATTTTAATTTTCTGGCAGAAATGAAGATTATAGTGCCATCTCAAGGCGATTTTACAAACTTTTCGGTGAATTCGATCGATATAAACTCGATGAATAAAGTAGCGCCTTTAGCAGAGTGGTGCAATGTGGTGGATGTAAGCGGTAGATATTTATTTAACTTAACCTCTCGCGAAACAAAAGATATACAGTATATTGCCCAATAAATACAAGTAAATGTACAAATATAAAATCGAAAGAAAATAATTATAATTATATACCTTAAGCTATATATATAATATATACAATGGTATTTTTGACACAAGTTTTAGCTTTCTTCAAAAAGGTGAGTAAATATTGCTGAATTTTAAGTATTAAAATTATGATTAGATGTTAACTGATGAAAAAAACTTTGTTTGATTGCAGCCACCAAGAAAATATCTACGTTCCAGATTTATTGACACGCTACATCTTCATGTTAGGGCGGGTACAGGAGGTGCTGGATTGTCTCGTTACGGAGGTTTGGGTGGCGCAGGAGGTAGCATATATTTAATTGCAAAAGATGGGCTAACATTGGAGAATGTTATCCAGACCTTGAAGGGCAAACGAGTCAAAGCAGATCCAGGAAACGATAGTTCAGCAAGGGGAATTATAGGTGCACCTGGTGAAGATAAAACTATTGCAGTCCCATGTGGTGTTACAGTATATAATCAGAATGGAGTGTTATTAGGTAGATATAATTTTTTAAGCATTAAGTTCAAAATTATACATTCGTTAATTTTTTTTCCATTTTGTAAAAATTCTAGGAGAATTAAATGAAGAGGACTCAAAATTATTAATAGCCAAAGGTGGCTTAGGTGGTTCTGAAGACACTGGTTTCTGCGGATTAAAGGGAGAATCTCAGATGATAAAGTTGGATTTGAAGATGATCGCTGACGTCGGATTAGTTGGCTTTCCCAATGCTGGCAAGAGTTCCTTCTTGGCAGCAGTTTCAAACGCCAAGCCTAAAATCGCTAATTATCCCTGTAAGACTTTTCACATATTTTATCATAATTATCAGCATATTTATTAGTTTTCTAACCTCAGATAATTTAGATCTTTGCAGTCATATATTTTTTTTGTTACAGTCACTACCATAAGGCCCAGACTAGGAATCATGAAGTACAATGATTTAAGACAGATTACCGTTGCAGACTTACCAGGTCTGATTGAGGGAGCGCACATGAATGTTGGGATGGGTCACAAATTCTTGAAGCATGTCGAAAGAACAAAACTACTTATGTTTATCGTGGATATACAAGGATTTCAATTGTCACCCAAACATGGATATAGATCCTGCCTGGAAACTGTAGTCTTATTAAACAAGGAGATTGAACTCTACAAGCCAGACTTATTAAAAATGCCAGCTATGATTATAATTAATAAAATGGACACTGACAATGCTGATAATATTTTCAAAGAAATTAAGCCAGCTCTGCACAATTTATCAAGCTATGTGTCTACATGTCGGGAGGAAATACGGCCCCAGAAGGTGATACATTTTGATGATATTTTGCCGACGTCCTTAATCTCGAAAGATAAAGAAGCAATAGAAGCGATAAAAAACAGGATACGAAGTATATTAGATAAATATTCAGAGAACAAATATATTGCTGATCATGATAACTTGGACTCTAGACTAATGAAGAAGATGAACCAACAATTTGAAGCACATACACCAACCGTTGTATAAATTTGCAGCATATGAAAATAAATATTTTATAAATAATAGCTGCTGCTATTGTTAACAATGATTCGTCGAAAAATATGCAGATTTAAAACCTTTTTAAATTGAATAATTTTTAATATAGAAATTTCAAAGAGATCGGATGGAAATTCCCGTTTGTTCAAAGTATATTTAATTTCACCAATTTACACTTTATGTTTGCATCCTCCACTCTCTCAATCCAACTTTCCTCGAATGGCGCGTTTTTCTCGACAGATATCATTTCGATTTCTTCTCTATCTCGGAGAACCCCCGCGTTCGCCATCCATCTTTCTGCACCATTCCACGCTATCATTACACCATTATCGTTGCACAAATGGGGTGGAGTTCTAACAAATTTAAAGCCTTTTTCCGAGCAAACGATTTCTAAAGCCTTTGCCAGGAAATTGTTGCAAGCCACTCCACCGGATATCACCTATATTTAAACGAGTATGTAAAATAAAGAAAAGTCAGAGAGAAAATTAATGAACATAATCATAGGTATATACCAAAGTTCGCTTTTCCTGTGATATCAAATTCATATTATTAATAAATTCCATTGCCCTCTGCGTTCTGAGACATATGTGCTTTGTAACACACAGTTGCACGGAGGCGCAGAAATTGTACACGTCGGGCATTGCTATACTATCAGCAACATCAAAGTTTTTTTCTTGCTTAGCGATATGTGCAAAACTTTTGTTCGCTACACCCGCAAAACTAAATTGACAATTTCTACTTCTTGTTAAGACAGGCTCGAAAATATATTTAGTTGGATCTGATGCTTTGCTTGCTGCGCTTTCTATCGCCTGACCACCGTTCATATGCGAGAATTCTGGTATGTTTGCAAGCTTAAGCCTACGAGCAATCTGCAAAGTTTTAAAATAAATCCATCATTATATTTCATACATCATTTTATCTTTATGTCTTATAAGATCTTTCATAAAAATTTTGCTGATAATTTTTTGAAGATAAAATTTTAAATCAGATAATTAGATAGATTAAACGTGTGATAACAAAAAAAAACTCAAAAATATACCTTGTCCAAAATTTCACCAGGTGCATTATCTATTGTAGTACCAAGCGTGTAAAATTTGTCAACATTTTCAACGATCGCTAGTAAACTGTGGCCACCTGACACAAGCAAAACAAGGTAAGGAAAATCTACCTACAAACACATGAATAATTTTTTAAAAATATTTTTGATAATACACGTATGGGTAATTAGTTCTGACGTACTTTCTGCACCATTCGTACAGTTAATGCATGAGCTTCCATATGATGTATCGGTATGTACGGTTTATTACCGATCTTAGAGAGATATTTGCCAAAGGTATTTCCAATGGTAAGCGATATGGGAAGACCTGGTTTAGTTGTAGTTGCGATAGCATCTATATCTCTCAATCTTAAATTCGCCGATCTTAGTGCATCCTCACAAACTGTAGTAATGTGTTGCCTATGCATTTCACCAGCAATTGTAGGTATTATGCCACCGTGTCTAAAAATGGAAACACAACTATGCTAGAATTTTTTAAATAGATTTTTAGATTCATACAAATCATCTTTTAAATAACAATTTAATGCTTTTAATAACATATACAGATGAATTTGCTTACATTAAACATGTAAGCACCAATCAAAACATTACTATAAATATATATTTCATAAACATCTTTCAAGTGTCTACTGACTCACGTCGACTTAATAAATAGCTCGCGAGGTACGGTAGTTGTAATTACTTTAAATGAGTAAGATGTTGCGAATTTATCGCCTCGCCTAATAACTTTCCTGTGGTATCTACGATTCCGCATCCCGTATCATCACAACTCGTTTCGATTCCTAGGATAATAGCCGGTCTGCCGTCCGCAAATTTTCGTATCGCGTTTAACGCTTGGCTACGCGTACGGAGAAATCTCGAACGTCTCGACTGGCAAAGTTCTAATGACGTTTTAAAAAGGCACGTGCTTTTAGCCATTTCGTTTTGACAAATAAAATATTAACGTACAGGGCTTGTGAGCAATTGCAGGTTAGGAATACCAACCCCGCCAATATTCTACCGAATTAAAATACGCGAGAGTACATCGTCGTAACTTGGTCTTGTATCAATTTATTAATCATACTAAATTAAATACAATGCAAGTATATTCTATCTGTTTGAATTCTTTTTTCTCTCTATCTTGACGAATTCCTTTAAATTTCGTCAGCAGTCGGCAGCTTCGACTTGCTTCGACTCCACATCTCTCGAAAGCGTCATCAGCACCATGTGTGCGATTCGAACGTTTTCATGCGAGGAATTTTCGAGGAGCCGCGCTGATTGGCTACCGGATAGGGAATTTCCAAAGTCTCACGAGCACCCTCTGCCCCCCACCCGAAGACCAATCGACACGTTCGAAAAAAGTTGTGCGGCAAATAAAAAATGTCAAGCCAAGCACGTCTCTCTCGTTACGACATATCTCTATGAAAGTCTAGTAAAAATTCCACAACGCCGGACAAGAGGGAACGCGGCGGCGGTGACCGGGTGACGTAGTGATTGGCCGAATTTGAAAACATCGGTGAGGTAATCGATCGATCGAACGAACTGCCCATCCCTTTACTACCATTTATCGATAAATTCTTCGAACGCGATTGTATCGCGGCCATCATAGGCAGCATTATAAGCATAGGCTCGGTCGTCGTCGAGTCAGGCTCAGTTCCAGTTCGGTGATGTTGGGTGATGTTAACGCTGGTGGTTGATTACGCATCCTAAGGAAAAATCGCGGAATAAAGGGCGTGTGTAAGATGCACGAGTGCCGGAGTTCTCGGACTCTTGGCTCGGTCACGGCCTCGGCCTCGATGACGCTGCCGGGAGCGACGAGCGCGTGGAACGCGAGAGCAGCGCGCGGATACGGTAATCGAGTGGCTTAGGAGTTGTCGAGAGCGACGAAGGCATCGAAGCTGCCAGGGCCAGGCAGGACGACGGGGGAAGATGTCCGCGTCCTAAGGAGCCGCCGTGCACCGATCCGCGGACGGACGCGTCTCGGCCGTTTTCTTCGGTGATTGCTGACGTGATGCCCTTTGAAAATCCCACGAACTTTTCTTGTTAGAGACAAGCGCGTGTGACTCTCGGTGAAATGTTTTCGTCGCCGGCGTCAGCGGTGGGCGAGCCATCGGGCTACGATTTTCAGAAAGAGGAGAACGCTGCCAAGTGGAAGGGAGTGTTTGTCAACTCCTTGCGCAAGGTACATTTTTCGTTGCTCCGAAACTCCGCGCTCCACTCCTTGTCGCTTCATCTCTATCCTCTATCTCCCTCCTTCTCTCCCTTCCTCCCTCTCTCTTTCTCTCTCTCTCTCTCCCTCTTTCTTTTTCACTCGCTCGCTCGCTCACTCTCTCCATGCCCGTCTTATATGCTTTGCTTTCTTGTCTTCCCGTTCTATCCCCTCCACCACAACCCCGCCTCTTCCCCTCATGTTTTGTTCGCTCCAATGCTCGATCATTTTTCGTCCCAATGATTTTACGTCGAGGCTGGATCGATCAACGACACCGACCGACGTCATCACCGTGCGCGGCCACCATATGATTTCTCAAATGTCTTCCTGTCAACATCGGCGATTGATGGATTTTTTTTATATCGCACCCTCGCGCTTATCTCTATTCTCCAACTGTCAACTCCTTCGCTCACGTATCTATCCAAAGTATTATATCTTGTGATATAATCATATATTTTGGCCTAATAATACAATTATGATAGTAATATATTGTACATATAAAGTTTACGTTATAGCCAAGAAAATATTACTTTATAGGTACTAGAACAAGTACATCCTAGTCTCGAAGCTCGACAAGATGCTTTAGACTATGTGGAAAGTTTAATTTTAAGAATGCTAGGCATGCTTTGTGGACATCCACCCCCTCAGACTCCTCAAGATGTGGAGGAAAGAGTAAGACGAACCTTTCCTACGCCCATCGATAGATGGGCTCTTCGTGACGCTAGAGATGCTTTAGAGAAAGGGAAAAAGAAGTCGCCATTAGTACTACCAGTTGATAAGATTCATCAGTTATTACAAAAAGTACATATCTATATGCCAGTTTATTTCATACATTGCATGCATCTTGCTAATGTTCAAAGATCTTATAAAAACATGTCAAAGCTGTATCGTAAGCTAATACATTACATTATTATTATTATTTTTTTTAATAGGAAGTATTACAGCACAAAATTGATTCGCAAGTTAGCCTGTTTGTAGTTGGCGTTTTGGAGTATATTTCTGCTGATATTTTGAAGGTTGGTAGAGTTCAAAATATTAAACGATTCTAAGCACTCGCTCGTTTCTACTTGAAAAGAATTGTCTGGGAATATTTAAGATTATTTTCTTTTCAGCTAGCTGGAAATTATGTGAAAAATATTCGCCACGTAGAGATTTCGTGTGAAGACATAAGAGTCGCGATGTACGCGGATATGGTAAGACATTGTTTGTACAAATGCACAATCTGTGTTGTATCTCTGTACTGCACCTTAATTAACCAACATATACTCTGTATCGTGTCTTACCATTTACATTTTAAGACTGATTTGACTTTATATATATATATATATATATATATATATATATATATACATACATACATTTTAATTATGAAAATTATTATTATATATATATAAATATACATACACATATATATGTGTGTGTAATGTAAATGTAAATATGTTGTAAGTGTATCACAATATTAATAATATATTATTATCATGTGATACTTCGCTCATATTCCAAATCAGTCTTATAGAAAATCTAGACACACAGTGGTGTATACATATATAGTTTATGAGGCTTGTATAGAGGAAATGTAATTAAAACAAGTGATATTATATTGCATTAAATAGGCAGTAAATGCAGTAGAGAAATATGATACCTTGCTAGTAATAGTTGGCTTATTATTTGTCGTTTACTATTTCTAGATTCAAGTTTTCGTTATTATATTGTCTAATTTATTTGAAAATGCATTAGCTTTCTAGTTTATATAGGTTTGATAAAAAACGGAGATTATAATTTTTTTCTATAATCTGTAATTCAAAGTATCTGAAATTTACTAGCAACTAATTACTAGCAACAGGTACACTAATAAATTTCAGAATTGGCTACACTAAGCTAATTGTGGCTGCGTATATTCTATGCTTGGTTACATGCTTTCCACTAATATATAACAACTCCAACCATGTTCATTCTTCGCTCATGCTGTTCTAGGTGGTACGTACTCGTGGTTGCACAGAAAAGATTTAAGGTGTCACAATATTTTTTTGCTATCTTTGTTCGTTTTTTAGAAAAGTTATATTTTATATTATTGTTCCTTAACTTAAAAGACTTCTTATTGTCTTATATCAAAGTTTATTGGGAAAGTTGACTGAATAATATATAGCATTATGCAAGAAAATTAATATCAACATAATATTATTAATATTAATATAAGCAAATGTAATTTATAATAGGTATTGCAATATTACAAAATATCTAATTCAATTAGGAAAAAAAGAATACAATACTTTTATAACACTTTAATTGCAAAATTTAAGATATACCTAACACACAACCTTTTTTTAAATCATTTTACTTATCTTTCTAACTTGAACATAAATAAAATTCATAAAATATAATTATTTTAAGATTTTAAAATTAGAGGAAATATACACATTTAAGAACAGAGAGTTAAATCTTAAAAGTTTGAATATAAAAGTTCTCGATAATTAACTATCTTAATAATCTAGTTGTTGTGCACAAATACTGTATATTTTATTGTTGTGTATTTTCTAGAAGTATGTAACTCATTGCTTGTTTAAAGAAATGCTTGTTAGTATATTTCTTTTATACAATATTTGCAGAATATTTTTATTTTAGCATCAACATCAAATGTAAAAGCAAATTAAATGTCAGTAAGCTCTCTTCAACTTTTTCTATTCCTCTTTTTTTTATGGTTAAGCGTAAGACAAATATAATTTGTTCAAATTAATGTGTAATTCCCTCTGCCTGTAAAGTGTTTTTATCTCTTTTAAATGTAGAGAATTAATACAACATATAAATTAATAATATATAAAATTATTACTATTTATACTATGCTTATACTAATTATGCCGTAGCATGAGTTTAATAATATATATGTAAATCACAAATATATTGGTAGAAAGTATTTTAACAGCACATAGAAATTGCTATAGAAAATTTTTTATAATTATTTTTTTAATCTTCTTTAATCACTTTTGTATTACCCGTTATTATGGCTGTTTTTGTAATTGATAAAAAATATTATAATAAGCATTCTAACTATTAAATATTTTATTTGTTATTTCTTCTTTTGATATTGATGTTTAAGGACAGGAAAATGTAAGAAATAATTATTTGTAACAATGTATAATTTATTGATAGGTATTGATGGACATGTTTTATCAAGATGATTATACGGAAGGTCCGCAAAGTAGCTTGGGTGCGGTTGTTTCGCAAACTTATGAAGAGTCTGTTCGAGATCTCATTCATGACGAACGGCATTACATCCGTGACTTACATATGATTATCAAGGTAATATACCATAGATGTTGTTGGAAAGTATTGAAATTTTAATCGAAAAAGATAAAAAATTAATTTCCATTGCTAGGTATTTCGCGAAGAGATTGCAAAGTTGGCGCAAGATAAGAGCGAACTAGAGACGCTGTTCAGTAATATTACAGATATTTATGAAGTTACTATGACATTATTCGGCAGTTTAGAAGATATAATGGAAATTACGGAAGAGAAGCAAACACCTACGGTCGGTTCGTGCTTTGAAGAATTAGCAGAGGCAGCAGAATTTGATGTTTATATAAAGTACGTGTGTATTACATTATGTATAATATACATCTATGTAAAATTTTTACTAATTATATATTATATCGTTAGATATGCGAAAGATATTAATAGTCCAGCTAGCAGGGAGGTTTTAACGAATTTATTATCAAGACCAGAAGCTAGTACGGCTTTGCGGGCAGCAGGCCATGGTTTTAAGGAGGCCGTTAAATATTATTTGCCAAAACTCTTGTTGCAACCTATATGGCACTGCTTCCTGTATTTTGATTACATAAAGGTATCTTTCTATTTGTTGCGTATATATGCAAAAATACTTTACGATACGATCTACCTTTTGTATTTCAAAATCTTAGGTTTTACACAAACGCACACCTAATATAGAGGATAGCGAAACTCTGGAACAGGTGCAAGGTTTATTAAGGCCACTACAAATGGAATTAATGCAATCTGTAGCAAGTCTTCCAAAAAAGGATACGGGCTTGCGAATGCAGAGCAGAGCAAGGAGACAGGCGGCACTAGAGAAAACTAGTGAGCTACAAAAGACTGTGGATGGTTGGGATCAAAAAGATATCGGGCAATGTTGCAATGAATTTATTAGAGGTAACACACACATATGTTTTTTTTATCTCTTGATAAACCATTTGAATTTATGTTTCAATCGTCGATAATTATATATCGATAATGTTTGTACAGAGGATACATTGAAAAAGGTGGCTAGTAATGGACGAAGATTAACAGAAAGGAAAGCCTTGTTATTCGACGGTTTATTAGTATTGTGTAAGCCAACTGGTAGTAAAAGAGTCAGCGTTACTGTTGCAGCAGGCATTGTTGCAGTCGCTGGACATTCGACTCATCAAGGTGAACTCCGATTGAAAGAGAGACTTTTTATCAGAAAAGTCGATATTATCGATAGAGAAGATACCGAAGGTAAACGCACAAATACATTTGATTACAATTTTATGTTACATTCGTAATCTCACATTGTAATGAAAATATTTTTATAGAATTGAAGAATGCTTTTGAAATTGCACCGAGGGACCACCCTAATGTTATTCTTGTTGCCAAATCCGTTGAAGATAAGAATAATTGGATGGCAGATTTAGTAATGTTGAATACAAAAAGTATGTTAGAAAGAACTTTAGATAGTATCCTATCCGATGAGGAAAGGAAGCACCCATTGAGGCTACCTCCATCTCACTTGTATAAATTTACTGAACAAGACAGCTCGGAAAATATTGTTTTGGAGGCCAGAGAAAATGGTGGTGTTCCCTTGATTAAGGGCGCAACTTTGATAAAATTAGTAGAGAGATTAACTTATCATATATACGCTGATCCAGCTTTTGTAAGAACATTCCTTACTACTTACAGGCAAGTAACAGTAGCGACTGTATTACTCCTTTTCATATGACAAATTACTTATTGATGATTTATTTTATAGGAGTTTTTGTTCCCCTCAAGAATTATTGACGCTGCTAATAGAAAGGTTTGATATACCAGATCCTTCATTAGTCTACGGCGAAGAGGAAAAACCATCTGTATGTAAGACAGCTAGAGAAGATTGGAAAAGATATAGGAAAGAATTTTGTCAGCCGGTGCAGTTTAGAGTTTTAAACGTTTTAAGACACTGGGTTAGTAACATTTTCTTATTTCCGCTTTACAATTCTCTTAAAATATAATTTTTCTAATTGTATTTATTTTCTTACACGAATTTTCTTAGGTCGATCATCATTTTTATGATTTCGAACGTGATAGAAATCTTCTGGAAAAATTGCAATTGTTTTTGGAATCAGTTAGTGGTAAATCCATGCGGAAATGGGTCGATTCAGTAATAAAAATTGTGCAACGAAAATGCGAGCCATCGGAACAACGACCTATCACACATAGCTTTGAACGATCTCCTCCGTCGATAGAGTGGCATCTTAAAGTTCCTGAGGAAGAATATGGAATACTTACGGTATATAGATAATTTCTCCATTAAATTTATTTTCTTACAAAAACTGCCTAACATTCTTGATTTATGACAATACTGATTACCGAAATTTACAACAATACAATTATTAATTCAATTATCAATTACAATTACAGTTACATCCTATCGAATTAGCAAGACAGTTAACGCTATTGGAGTTTGATTTGTACAGAACGGTAAAGCCTTCCGAGTTAGTCGGCTCTGTATGGACAAAGAAGGATAAGGAAAAAACATCACCCAACTTGCTGAAGATGATTAAACACACAACAAATGTAAGCTTTTATTTTAAATTATCATAAATATATCGTGAGATATATAAAATGCTATTACATTAATTGGATTTTTTACTGTGGTTTCTTAGTTCACAAGATGGTTAGAAAAGACAATAGTAGAGGCTGAAAATTTCGACGAGAGATTAGCCATTATATCACGTGCAATCGAAATAATGATAGTGCTGCAAGATCTCAATAATTTTAACGGCGTTCTGGCCATTATCAGTGCTATGGGATCGGCTTCAGTTTTTAGATTAAAATTTACATTTCAAGTACGTTCAATTTATACACACAAGTAAAATTAAAAAATCGTATTAAATTATTCTTTTTTTATTTATCATTTATTTTTACAGCAAATAAATGCACGATTAGAAAAAGCGTTGGAAGAAGCACGGGAGCTTAACAACGATCATTTTCGGAAGTATCAAGAGAAATTAAGATCTATCAATCCACCTTGCGTACCATTTTTTGGTATGTGTATAAAGTGTTACAAAGAGATGATCTCTTATTATTACTGAAAATTGAACTTTTTTTTCATTTTTAGGTATGTACTTGACTAACATTCTGCATATTGAAGAAGGAAATCCGGATTATTTACCGGGAAGTCCGGAGCTTATTAATTTTAGCAAACGGCGAAAAGTAGCAGAAATAACTGGTGAAATACAGCAGTATCAAAATCAACCCTATTGTCTTTCAGTGGAATCTAGAATAAGGCAATTTCTTGAAAACCTGTGTCCTTTTGATCCCAATATGAAAGATGCGGACATAAGCAATTATTTGTACAATAAAAGTTTAGAAATAGAGCCAAGAGGATGCAGACAACCTCCAAGATTCGTAAGCGTTACTCTTAATACTATGATACAGTAATAAAAATTATTCTCAGTCTTTTACATTTTCTTAAATTTTTGCAACAGCCGCGTAAATGGCCAGATTTAAACTTGAAATCACCAGGAATCAAGGCTAGAAGCGGAAAATTACCAGCTCCGTTACATATGGTGACGTCCAACGTAAGATTACATGATTCTCCAGCGGACACGTTTCCTCATGAATTACCGGAAACACCTCCACATGGACTACAAAATACAGTTCCACATATAGATCATAGCGTTTTTCCGCCTGTCATATTTGGTACGTATATATATTTAAGTCTTATTGTTAATATATTAACAATACGCGTATAAATGTATAACTTTCTCGTTAAATCTTTTTGTAGCTGTGCCACTTCCAGCATCACCTAGTCCAACTAGTGGCGCTAAATCGGTGCGTTCGATTCCCTCGTCGAGTAGCCCTCAGTCGCTTCAGTCTTTCTTTCCTGCGCATTATCAAAGTAATCACTTCATCTTTAATACCAGTGCTATAAATGTAATATACATGATTAGTTTGCTACAATGTGTCTACCGTTGCCAGGTGAAAGCCCCAGTGCAATGCCGACACCGTCGTCTCCCAATATACCTCTTAATCAACTTAATCAACTTCCGCCGCCTCTACCACCTAAACCTAGAGTGATACCTAAACGACGAGAAAATTCATGTAGTGAATCACCACAACAAGTAAGAGATTTTAAGGTTAACTAAGATTCATTCAGTTTAAAAATTTTTTAATCATTTTCTAATTCAATAAAATTAAAATATCTTTATACATGGATTTGAAAATATTATAAACTTAAATTTTTTCCAAGAAAAATGTTTTTAAGAGAAACTTTTTAAATCAAATAATTTTTTGCTTTATTCATTATCGATATTTATTAATTTTTTTATTGTTATGTTGGATGATATCAGATTTTCAAACTTACATTTCTGCATTGCGATAGAGTAGAAATATGTTGCATATTAAGATTTATGACAAATAGGATAATTATTATTGTGGTTTTCTTCGAGAAAGTAAAAAAATTTGCTTCGAACAAATATAGGCAAAACAAGCTCCAAACGCACCAATTCTTCCGCCGAGGGATGATATCTCGCCACCGCCGTTACCACCACGACTTCCAGCAACGTTAAATCCAAGTAGTTCGGCATTACTGTCGCGCCGAAATTCCACGTTAGAAAATACATGCTGCAATGTTCCACGGAGACATATGTCTCTCAATAGCCCTAGCCCTACGAAACTTCCACCAACGCAGCCTAATGGTAAGATATTTATATGTCTGTTTGCAAATTCATATATATTTATATAACATTAACGGATATTTATTTTCATTATCATTATTGCATTTCAGGATCAGTGACACCGAAGTTACCACCAAAACCTATACAGGGACGTCCACCTACAACCATGTTTAATTTCAACCACCCTCCCGGACCTAGTTAAGTGTTACCTTCCCACAATTCTATTTTTTTACCTTGTTGGAAAAACATTTTCAATCGCAGCTTAGTCCATTCGGTAAGTCAAGCTGAAATCTTTCTTGCCGCACATATAAAGAAGCACGGTCTAATAAATAGATCGATTCCAAATAAAATATTTATTGTATTAAATCATTGTAAAAATATCAAAAATGTTAAGTGATAATTTGAGAATTCTGATAATTTTCTCAATAAATTTCGAGTCCGTTGTTTGAAATAATCAGTGCTTTTGTGTTCATCATACTTTATAATCTTACTGAATAGACTACGCTCAGTATCAGTTACCTGTATGGCTTCCTTCCTTTAAATCCCCGATTCTCCTTCAAATACAACTGTGATATAGTTTCAATACAAAAAATATGTTAATGTAATTAGACACTTAGATTTTAAAATAATAGACGTAAGAAAGTGATGTGTATCGAATATATACAAATATGTATACATATATATATATATTGATCAATATCAAGAAAAGCATACATGGATTATATATATACAGGGAGAAAGAGAGAGAAAGAGAGAGGGGAAGGGAAAGGGGGGAAAGAGAGAGAGAAAATACATGTATATTATTATAAATATATTCTATTTTATATATATAAAGATATATAAATATATATATATATATATATATATATATATTTATATATGTATATATATATATAGATTGATATACATAATATAGATTGTAATAATTTCTAGGAAAAAAATATGGCATTATGTAAAATAAAAAAGTATATTGTGTAACAGTATCTGTAACTCTTACCTTATATTTGCATTTTTTACAGTGCATCTAATAATTAGGAGCAATAATGAAAAGCGTAAGTGTAAATTTATTATAGAACTTGGACTTATTATTAAGTTATTTGGAACTGACGTTGAGAATAGGGAATTACACAATAGAGAGCATTTGGCTTTATTTTTTTTTCTCATTATTCTCACGTAATCCCGAATTTTATGAGTGAAATGTATACGAGAGAGTATAACCCTCGATTTTACGGGACTTCCCATACTGTGGAACTATCGCTGCGTTTGCTATGCCTAATGTCAGCGTGAGTAGTATCTAGTACGTCGCTTAATTTGCTGAATCGTCTGGCCCAGCTTCCTCTACCGATGCTTCCGGCCTCTCTCAAAACCGAAAGTAAATCATCTTCATCTTCTTTTCCCCTTATTTCCTTTTCGTACTTTTCTTCCTGAGCGATCAATCGTTCACGTTGCAGTTGAGTTGTCAGCGAATGCGGTCCCGCCGGTATTATGTAGCTCATAATACCGGTAAGTGCGAAAACCTGTAAAAAAAAAATTTCTCCATCGAAATAGCCAATTTTATTGCCTTGTTAGTAAAAGAACGTGTTTATCGGCTTACAACGTGCTCGAAGACAACGACGAAAGCTAAACGTGCGGCGAAAACGTGCCAGTACTGCGGACTGAGCCCATAAGGATCGATGATGTGGTCCGGACCGTTTCTGTAGCCTCTGTACTGACACGTCTCCGGATGTTCGGCTTCCACGTCGCTCTTCATATCGTCGCGATAATCCGACGTATTGAACTCTGATAGAGAACTATCGATGTAACCCACCAAATCTTCGGTGGGCGAATAAACGAACGTGTACACGCTTCGTGGGATAAAATCGGACGTGTACGCGATAACAAAGGCCTGGAACATGCCATTCGTAAGTTAAAAAGGCTAAAGCGACTTGTGCGACTCGACGAATTTGTATGTGCGTGCGCGTACATTTGATACCACCGCTACGTAAGTTACACCCCTAAGAATACCGAACCAAGCACCAATATCCTCTACTCGCTCGGCTAACGGTCTTCGAGCCTCCTTGACCATTTTGTACGCGTCCAATCTTATCTCGGCGATATTATTCAATAAAGCGAATAAAGGTGCTAACGGGAACGCTGCCACGAATAACGTTACAAATCCATACTGCAGAACTATAAACATGGTAAAAAGAAGGAATAATGCCTGTAAAAAGATGTTTTGCCGAAAACGAATTTAGTGTATAGTGCGCGAGACTCACTCATCTCTAAATACTCGTCGAACAAAGCTAGTCTCCCCGGATCTTGAAGCTGATAATCTTTCTCCCAACAAGGAGCATATCTTCTATCATGATTCTTGACCGTCGCTGCGACTTGCGTTCTCTTGCGCCACCAATTCCACAATTTCGGTGATAAGATTTCGACAAAGTTATTAAAGCATTGTTTACCGACCATTATAATCGCAAGTTGAATACAGACTTCCGAAAGGCAACCAGCGGGATCGCATACGTCTGTTTTAATGCGATAGAATTCCGAGGCTCTCGCATCCGCATCGCCAGGATGGACGAAAAATCTCCCCTAAATATATAGATGAATATGAACGCAAAGGAGCTCAATGTGAGATATCGTATGTTTAATGTCGTACGCTAATATATACCTTGAAAAAGGCGATGTAAATCAAAGAGGAGTAAAAGTTGACAAACTCGAATAAAAAAATCTTAAATGTATAGCTGGCTTCGTATTCCGTCTGCGTTCTCGGATTTTCCAAATTGACCATCCAACGAGCTAACTTATGATATATTCGCGTAAGTATCATTATTATCACCAAGTTAATGAGGGCGGCGGTCATAGAAGTGAATATCTTCGCATGTCTTTTCAAAAAACTACCACCCCCGCCGTAAAAAACGGCAACCAACGAAATGCGGTATACGATCGTTCCTAAAACTGCACCGAGGACTACGCATATCTACGCAAAAGATAATAACGATAATAATTTGTAATGAGATATTAAAGTATCGAAGAAAGTGAAAATGCGTGAATTTAATTACCATAAAAAATACCATGGAGCCAGTAGCCAAACATCGGATGGCCTTAGACCACGCGGGCAAATACGGTTCTTTTTCCTTCGTCACGGGATTTATTCGGAACGTTTTAACGGACGATTCGAATTCAGGTCTGGGCTCTTCGTCGTATTCGGCATTTTGTAGGTCCCATTCCCAAACGATCACGGCTTGACGCCGTTTCCACAGCTCGAGAAACGTGGTAGCTGTTAAATTGAAAAATTAAAAGTTAAAACGTATTTAGATACGTATGATTACGTGGAAAAAAGATATTTTATTCATTTTCAAATCTTACCCCAGAAAGACATAAACATAGCAAAGAAGACAGTCGCGGGATTGTCAAATAAGTAAGTCAATTTCGAAAATATACAGGAATCACCGAGTTTTTGATAGGTACACGCTTTATCGCAAAGAGGGCACAGAGTGATATTTCCTGAAATGTTGCGTTGCATCAAATTAGAAATATTACGGACGGATAGCGTAACGATTTATCAACAAAGATTTTTGTACAAATATCGTACAAAAAAGGATATTTACCAGCTAAGTTAGAATCGCATATTTCCTTGCTGGGAATGTTGTCTTCACCATCCATGCTTCCAAGACCGTAAATGAAGCATAAAAGTCCCACCACTGCTGGTGCATATAAGCATTTCGTGTAAAATCCCAGCCACGCGAAGTAAAGAGCGACTTTCTCGCCAAAATATCGTCTTATTAACCATAACGGCTGTTTTTTAAACCTAAGGTTGTACGAAAAAAATCTCTTTCAAATAGTTTACATTATACAATATCAAAGTGTCTGAAATATTTGTTAAAACTTTCTATTACCATTGCGCGGGTCTCGCCCATAGTAAGTACAACAGATATCTATCGAGAATCTCTCCGTTACGCATGGGTTTATCATAAGGACCCTCGTGCAGAGGAAAACAATCGAGATACGTTCCGTCCGCTAAGAGCCTGCGAATACCGGCCTTCTCGTGGTTCTCGTCAAATCTCGCTCGCAATAATATTTGCATTACTATTAATGATCTCTGGGCGGGCGTATAAGCATTATCCCTTTCCTTTACGATAAACCTGCCAAATATCAAGTATGACAAACAAGATGAGACGAAAACTAATCTGATTTCACGTTACTTAAATACCTTTCTTCACGATCGCCGGAATCTATGTAGTCATAAAAATGCGGTTCCTCAGGATACTTCGATGTATCCCAAGTATGTATCTTATGTATCCATTTGGCCCATCGCGTCCATCGCGCCCAGAATTTCGATATCTCTTTGGCACCGTCTGTATCCTGTTTTAAAAATTCGGAAATATATCATATTTACGCGATACATTTTACAACGCCTAGAACGTGCCTATAGCATGTATATACATGTGGTTCACAGTTAAAAAAAAACGTACCCAAGTTTTCATAGGGATCGTTTTGAATCTCTTTGTGGGTAGTTTTAAACTCATTACTTCAGCATATTGCACTTTGATTTTCCAAGGTATATGTAATTTTAAAAAGTACGTTTTTCTATCAAACGAACTCTCCTTCGGTTCGAGCTCCAGTTGCAGACCTTCTTTCAAAAGATTTTGTTGAAACACTCGTCTCTGCTCTCGCCGACGAGCTTCTAATTCGGTCATAACTCCTTCGTTTTCTTCCTGGTAGACTAATACCATATCGATTCTTCGATGGCCGTCGCTAAAATTAAATCGAGTCGAGTAATATAGTTAATCGCGAAATCTTTTCGAAAGACGATCTAATTTGATAATGTCTTGTCTTGTATGTGCATGTTTATAAAAAGAGCTTCTAAAAATAAGGCACTTTCGAAATAAATGACCCTTCGCATTTCTTTCCCCGAGTCGTTCGTTTGCGCATGTTCAAGTAACGTACGATAAAAAAATGATAAGACAATCTAACGTCCTAGATAATTATATTAAGCTTGTAATAATAGAAACGAGTGCCTATGTCCATCTATATATGTATACATATATGTATGTATATATATATATATACATATATATACACATGTATTATACACGCCTCGACATTTGACTGTTTAAAGTCCGAATGAGGGAGAACCAAAATAACTTTTGTGACATATCGCCGTGGCAGAGACAACTACTCACCGAAAATAAAGTACCTCGGGATCGATTCCCGTTTCTTTCGATGGCAATGAATCCCCAGCGGCAAAATCCAACGATACTGGCGTATCCGGTAGCGAGGGATTGATTTCCGGAGTGGCGGGCGCCGTGAGTTTGGGACCTTGCCCAGTTTAAATTAGAAAATTATCAATACTATAATCTTTAGCACGCGTTTACGACTTTTTTTCGCGTTGACTTAGCCTTTAACATTTTTTTAGTCATTTCGGTGAAAGTGCCGTATACTAGGCAAATTACAACAGAATTAATATAGCGCACATATTGTAAACTTCCTTCAAGTTATTTCGTAATTTGCTTCACCTTGAAAGCATCCTTACGATAATGTCTATAATTTCGCGGCGTTTTAGTAGTTTCGTAAAAGTAGAACGAAAAAGAGTAAAAAGTTAACAGCAGAAAGTTAGAGCGCACATTCGTAGAATGATAATACTAGAGCCGAGTCAAACGTTGCATTATTAACATCCGATATTCGTGACACGCTGACATTCGTACGCATATTGATCGAGTTTACTGACATAGCTTTATTGCTGTTATAGACAACCGCGGGTTTCCACGAGCGTTTTATTCTTTATACATATATATTACGTTCGCGTAGATCGTATATATCGCGTACCCGGTTTATATTTATTAAATGCCGTTATTAAAGTGTTACGTAAGCGATTAGCTAAAATTAGTTTTCCTACTGTCGAGTAAACATGAATTCTCACGCGTTTAAAGGCTCGGAGAAACTTGAGAGCGTTGACAATCGTCCGTTATCGAACGTGTCGCGTTGGCCTTGCATCGGCCTTGAAACAAGATCCGGCTTAGCATTTCTTGGATTGACACTAAATTAATTCTTACCGAAGGCATCCTGCGCGATCAGATTCGTTCCAGATGGGTACACGCTGGCTCTCGACAATTTCCTCTTGACGCTCGCCGGCGTTTCACCGGTTAGCGAGCCATTTTTGTCGGGTTCATAAATAATGTCCCTATTCGGATAAACGGAGGAGATCAATCCCGGAGACCTCGGGACATTACCGGTCTTGGTTGATTTGGCCGAGGACGCGCGAGAGGTGTTTCCGGAGCCGCTCGATTTTTCGTCGTTGAATTGATGCTCGACCGGGCTATTGTCGTCTGGATGAAGAAAAGTGCCCCAACTGCTAGGCCTCTGAGTGTGGTTTTGCTGAAATTATTCAGACGCTTATAGCGTTTCCCGTGGATCATTACCTGCCAGTTCGTATGCCCTATTCGTATCCTCGATCGTGGTGAAAAAAAAAACCGTCACAAAAAGTTATTGTCGGAGTTTTAATCTTATATAATGGGGAATCGATGTGACAATGCGAGACAGAAATGAATTCGCGAAAAATAAAATAGTCAGAGGATCGATACCTTAATCACTTTTAAACATAAAAAATCAACATAAGTTCTTATCATAGTGTACTAGATAGCGGAAAAAAGAAAGTGTATTACGCCGATTATTAGACCGGTAAGTGGGCACGATGAATATGTAGATTTAAGATAATGATTACTTTCTCGTCTCACAGCCCCTTGATGTAATAATAGTTGCAGATATCGATCCGAGCTAGATGTATCATTAAGATACGTGCATCCTCTACTTATTGTTAGATGGATTACTCAGATATTCGAAAAAGCGAACTCGTAAACATGTAAATGTTTCGTGTTATCATTTGTTTAATTTTCTCTCTATATATACATATATGTGCTCGTGCTACACTTCGAGGATGTAGTACTTTGCATGTTTATAGTTATTCGTAGTAAACTAGTAAACAGTTATTCGTTTAGTAATGTACACACACACACACATATATATATGTATATTACTAAACGAATAACTCACTATGAGAAATATTCTCACATGCGCGGGATGTAAAACCGATTTTTGGAACGGTGCTAAGTATACCTGGCTGTCATCGTCTACTTGCAGCTTATCATCCATGTTGACCCCTTCGTGTTTTAAGGTACGTTCGCGAAGACCGGAAGACTTTCGATGGACAGTGTTCGGAGTGTCGATTGGTCCGATAACATTTTTTTCCTTGCCAAAAAAACAACGACTTTTCACGATGAATGTTTCAACGATTATTCATCGATCTGCGTGCGACGAGTCGAGAAGCGTTCTTCATTTCCCAAAAGAATCATCTCGGGCATTTGGATTGGCATTTTCTTGATGTTCCTTGATTTAGATATTCGAAATACTATCAAACACACTTTACAACGAGCTTCTTTGATCGCGTCTGATAGTTAATCGTAAGAAAACGAGCATCGATCAGTGTCGATAGCTTAGATAGTCGCGGCGGCGGCGGCGGCGGCCTCGCATCGAAGAACACTCGTTTAATTATGAATGGAGCACAAATCAACCCCGCTCGAAGAAACGTGGGATAATGGTTTTGTACTCGGGATGCCCTTACGGAGGTACGAGTGAAGACATTTCGATGAAACCTCGTCCATTTAATCGCCTCGAGAGCGTTTTTATGCAGCGGAACATGATGCGTTGGATCGTTAGCATGTTTTAATTCCACGACATTGTATATAATATCGAACGTATTTGTTACCTTTCGGATTCACATTTGGATTAATCGACTATATACACATTGTCATCCGCCATTCACCTTCATTCTTTCAACTTTGATCTTTTAATATCTCAAGAGTTTTAATAATATTTTTCAAAATTACTATTACTGTTTCATTTGCTTTTTCCTTTTTCTTCAGAAAGTCCGTTTCCGAAGGACGGATAGTTAGATTAATGATTTCGGAATAGAGACGAAGAGAAGTGAAACGAGATTGAATGATGAAGTTTACGCGCGCGCGTTTGTTATATATCTTTTTTCTTTTTGAACTGTTGGAGAACGAATTCGTATGAGAGAGCGAATCGTTTCTCGATCGAATCGTTCTTTCGCGACGGCAGTATGAGATATACTGACCACAGAGGACAATAGGAACAATACTTATATCGCACTGCACGTATCGCCCTGTTAATGTCCCTTATCTACGTAGTCGCACATATTCCGCGAGGGTGTACGTGTGCATTACCTTCGCCTTCAGGGGCGAAGATTTCACCCGATGCGGGGGTGGAAGCCGAGCGGTGGAATGTCGAGGCTTTCGGAATTGCTATGGTTACCCAATGGACACAACATATGTATTACATATGTCGCATTAAACGCATCATCGACTCCTCCTTTGAGCTTGAACTTGAAGCGTCAGCTTCGCGGGTCGCAGGCGGAATAAAAACGCGCATGATCTACAATCTACGTGACACCCACATTCGCCGTTTTGTCGCGCGCATATTAATAAACCAAAGGTTACTCCTTTACATTGGAATATTCTCTATTTATTAGGAAATTATTGCATTTCCATCGAATGAGTTTAGCACTGATTCGTCAAGTTAGCTTACATTCGAACAGATGTTATTTATCTATCCTACCTATCTCGATTATCCTGTATCGGCAGCATTAGATCTGTATAACGAGACGCATAGAGTTCGAACGCGAAAACAAAGATCTTATAATAGGTTTTCTACTAAACAGCTTTATTTAAATTTATAATTAGCAAGTGCAATTATTTAAGATCGCTCGTAGATTAACATCAATCATTTTTACAAATTAATATTTAAATGAAAAATTAAAATATATTAATTAGATATATTTATGTGCATTTGCTAGACTAACTATTCTAATGTAATGTAATAAACATTATTACGATACTGATATAAGCTTATCAGTATCTGCAGTACAGAGCGTATCTCTTATAGATTTTATTAATATTGTCCAAAAATATATTTAATATCTTTAAACTCGATACTTGCATGCCTTTTCCTTTCTTCCTTCTTTTTATTATTATATATTGACTTATATACATATGTATGTGTATTATACCGTGTAGTTTTTATTTCCGCATGTCTAGTATATCAAAAAGATTTTCTCGTAAATAAGTAAATGAAACGTCGGTAAGTTAATCTTAATTAAAAATAATCTATTACGTCGGAGAAATTACTAAAGTGCAAAAAGTAGAAATTCTCTTTTCCGTGATTCTTTCCTAAGAATTTGACTCGCGAGATACATTTCCAACGTTTAAATTTAAACAGGACTATTCAAATATTCAAATTAATCGCGAGAATGGTCGAGTTGCGTCAATAATTTATGGAGATTATTTGTAAAATGTTATACAGATCAATTACAATTTCGTAATTATCAATCGCGATTTTAAATTAATTTAGATAGATCGATAATCGTGGCGGAAATCTGAATTAGTGATAAAATAAGATTTCGTCGCGCACTTGACTAAAGACGTAGCATCATTCGCCATATTTACAACGCTCGTGGTCGGTCAACAGATACCTGCACCCCGTGACGTACGGTCTGCAGACGCTTTGCACGTCTGTACACGCCTCTAGAGAACCAAGTTTATGCGCGTTACGTTCCCTCGTGTCGTATCGTTTCGCGACGCAATCGAACGTTTGTTTGAATTTGAATCAGAAAGGAGGAAGAGTTCCATGTTGGAGAACGAGAGCGTAACAAACACATCGTAGGAAGAAGCTAAACGCTCCGGATTGAGACTCGAGTACCGTGCTGGGTGTGTCATAATGCGTGTCATAATTTTAGCCTTGATATGCGTATTACTGCAAACGGGTAAGAACATTTGTTGAATATAAATTTTGCACATCATACGTAAATCACGTGCGCGATCACACGGAATCCTAAACACGGTCATTCCGTTGATAGTCATATTCAAACTGGAAAAATTTTCTCTTGTCATTCGACAACGCATATACCGAGTCATACAGCTTGATTTTTCAACCTGGTAAATCATGGATTTCACGTTGTTTCAGTTGCGGCTCAACGTACTCCGACAATATCTTACATATCGCAGGAACAAATTAAAGATATCGGGGAAACGGTGGAACTATCGTGCTCCGTTCAGTATGCCCAGGAATATCCTGTTTTGTGGATAAAAGTTAATAAAGATAACAGAAATGAGCAAGTGGCACTCTCTACTGGCACTGCGTTGATAATCAGAGACAGTAGATTCGCCCTTAAATATGACATATCGACTACCACTTACGTTTTACAAGTAATATTTCATTGAAATGTTCCTACAATTAAGATACATCCGTTTGTTTAATTTGGTATTAATATAACGTGGGATTAATACGTCTAATTTTAGATTAAAGACATACAAGAAACGGATGCTGGATTGTATCAATGTAGAATACAAATAACTGTAAGCAACCTCGTAAGCGCCGAAGTGGACTTACAAGTTCGTAGACCACCGATAGTTAGCGACAACTCGACCCAATCTCTGGTGGTCAGCGAGGGACAACCTGTCCAACTGGAATGCTATGCCAATGGCTATCCGCCGCCAAGGATATCGTGGCGTAGAGAAAACAATGCTATTTTACCAACCGGAGGATCAATCTATCGGTACGTATAATAACTAAAGTAAATTATTATTAAATATTTAGCAAGCAATATTTGACGTGTTGTATAATCATTGCAGTGGCAACACGTTAAAAATATCTTCTATACGAAAAGAGGATCGCGGAACGTATTATTGTATCGCTGAGAACGGCGTTGGACGTGGTGCTAGACGTAATATTAACGTGGAGGTCGAATTCGCGCCAGTAATCACAGCTCCTAGGCCACGACTCGGACAAGCTTTGCAATACGATATGGATTTGGAGTGTCACGTAGAGGCATATCCTCCGCCAGCTATCATCTGGCTCAAAGACGACATACAGTTGTCGAATAATCAGCATTACAGCATATCACACTTTGCAACCGCGGATGAATATACCGACACGACGATTCGAGTTATTACCATAGAAAAGCGGCAATATGGAGAATATGTATGTCGTGCAGCCAACAAATTAGGCACTGCTGAAACGAAAGTCGAGCTTTTTGGTAAGAGAATATAAAAAGACGTAACTGTCATGAATTTTTATGTATTGTATGCTAGTTGTAGGAAGATAATGTCTATAGTTGGAACAATTAATTATATTAATTGGATATTGACTTTTAAATATTGGATTTGACTTTTTATCAGTATGTCGACCGTGCATGATAATATGAAATTTTCATGTTACCTCAGCTATAAATTTAAATCTTCAATTTATATCAATGTGCATTTTTATACCTTTCAGCATAATTTATTATCTTTCGATTTTTTTTATCTGTTTTCCTTAGCCAGCCGATTTTTATTTTCGTAGCTAGCATGTACTAGATTTGTTCCTCCTTTTGTTTGCGCAGAAACCATTATCCCTGTTTGCCCGCCAGCTTGTGGTCAAGCTCATTATGGAACTGGCGTAATTCCAGTTTCTTCCGGACCTTTGGTAGTTCTAGTTTTATTAATTACAATGACAATGAGGTAAGTCATATTTTAATGTACATTTTCTTGCTAGTAACGATAGTTTAGATATCGTTTCATGACCATGTTGTTTGATTGTACAATAGATCTCATATTAGTTTCGATATGTTTGTTTTTATATTTCTAAGATGGGTCAAAAAATGAAAAAATTTAAAGGAGTAAAATAACTCGTAGGAAACTGTATTAATTTTAATTACATCAAATAAAATACAATCAAATGATTGAATACAATTTCTACATTTTTATTTTACTCTTTTAAATTTTCTCATTTCTTTGATCAGCTCTGTATATACCTACATACATTTGATGTTTACAGAAATTTCTACGCCAAATATTAACTATCCAGGCCTTCAATGGGCAGCAGCAAATCGATGTGACTTATTAAAATGGCTCTATGCAACTATCAGCTTTATTATTGTCGCGATAACGCTGTAAAACCAAAATCTAATGAGCCTCAATTATCGTTTTACTAACTTACTTTCTATATTTGTATCATGCAATTATTTTTATAGTTATTTACAAAGGAGAAAAATGTATCATTAAGAAAAACGCGCATATCGTGACACGTTACGTCACCACAGTGCAGTTGTTGACAGAAATTTAGTACCATTATTTACACATTTCGGCTTTTTACAGTACTATCGTTTTTTTAGAACAAAGTTTTTATGTATATATAGGTATATATATATTTAATATGTGATGTTCATGTTAAATTTGTACAGAAAGAAACGGTTTTGTTAAAGCATCTAAAAATTTAGCTATAGATCTAAAAAAAAATTTTGTTGAATCATCAAAATAAAATAATTGTACGTTACATATATAGGAAACTCAATCGTGATGAATATGGCAAAAAATTTTTGTCATTCTTGCAGCTTGATTGTCCTATATAATTATTTGATAAATAATGATAATCCAACAAAATTATTTTCAGATTTGTAGCTAGAAAAATTTTTAAATACTTTAGCAAAACCGTTTTCTTCTGTGTAGACTTTTTAAAATTTTTACGACTGATCTCTTTTTCTTCGTATAATAAAAATACGCGTAAGAACACCGCTCAAATTTTTACATCGAAATTTTAACTTTATTTAAGTAATATTAAAACGTAATCGAGGGTGCTCTAATCGAGGATGTTCCAAAAGGAAATGATATGATTCTCATAAATTTGTCATGCTGAAATGGTCTTTATTGGCATTTTAATTATTAGAAAAAGTAATTCATGTACTTTTACGAATATAGATACCAACAATATACAAATGTTGGAAAGATACAAACTAACATTCCAGTATACATTCATGATGACACACGGTGTTATGTAACGCGGCATATAGACAGACAGACAGACAGTATAAGAAGAACTTCTTGGCTTCGGTACAACTGATAGACAATGGAGAAGTAAAACATAATAATAATGTTACGAAATATATTATCTTACTTTTATAGTTATTAGTAGTTGCAAATCGACAATACGGATTTGTAGAATTATCTAGCTAACCCCGTTAATGAAAGAATTTGGAATGTCATGAACAAAGAAAACAATGTTGATATATGTTAGTGCCTTGTTCGTGATATGAAAAGTGTAATTTATGTTTAAGAATTAAAATTATACATGTGTATAATGTAAAACACATTACATGTACGTGCATTACTTGTACGTATGTAATAATAATTTATGCGTTTTATCAAACACGTACTATTTTTAGCTATTGCACATTTATAATCGCGATCTCTTTTAACAAGGCGTATCACATAGATATTAAACAACTTAATAAGAGAAAATAGGAAGTGGAAATCTGAATAGAAAGAATCTCAGCAAGTTTTTATATATTCTTTACAAGTTTTTCCAATTTTATACTTATACTAATATTGTAATTTGCATTTGAAACTTGACACCATGATACTCGTAATTAGGAATGGGAAATAACGTATGTGTTACTTGTAACCCATTCTTATTCGTAATATTTATAATAACTGTAGTATTTATACACGTTGTGAACAATTGTGTATTGTCACAGATATACCGTGACTATAATATCAGTGGCAAAGTTTTATACAGGTACTCGTTTGTATACTATGATATCGCGCATTTTATTAATTAAAACTCCATGCATTATATTCAACCAAATGTATGTATGGAATAAGCAATAAAATTTTATAAAAACAAAGTAATTTCTTCATAAAGGCCTTTCTTGTTACACGTACAGAATTCTTCTCAGACTTTATTTTATAATTTGAAAACGGCTTTGCTTATATCTCCCTTCTTCAATGCATCGAGAGCTTCTTTATATTGGGACAAAGAAAATATCTTGATCCCTAATTTATTGTAGTCAAGATATTTTTCAGACATTGCTTGCACCAAAGATAATCCTTTAGAAAAACTGAAGGGATTTATATTCACGCCTACGATGGTCAACTCCTTTTTGTAAATCTGCGTAATAATTATAATTTTTAGCAAGAAAATATTAAAACTATGCTCTCAATTAAGTTCATTTGAAAGTTTACCTGATATGGTTCAATCGATAGTTTTGCTTTTGGATTAGCGACACCGAATACGCATAAGCGACCACCGGAACCTAATAAAGATATGGCCAATTCTATGGCTGGAGCACTGCCGCTGCAATCCATAGCTAAATCAAACTCCTCTTTTAATTCTGTCGGATTTTTTACTTTATAATCGAGACCTATATAAAATAAATATATCACCATTAGAGAGAGAGAAAAAAGAAAGCTTTCTTCCAATTTTTTAAAAATATTATTTATATTACCAAGATTAGCGGCAAGATCTTTCCGTTTTTGTTGCGGTTCACTGATCGTGACAGTCTTTCTAAGACCGTGCAAATGAAATAGACAGGCCCACAGTAAACCTATGATACCGGCACCTATAACGAGAATCCTCTTTCCTACATTTACAGGATTGATTTTATCCCAGCCGTGAGCCATGCATGATAACGGTTCACTCAGAACTGCATGGCGCATTTCAAGATCATCCGGGATTGAATATACCTATCATAAATATCGATAATATCATTCAAACGATACGTTTAATATAATATAACAATGTGGTTAAAGCAGAATGAAAAACGGTTAAAATGGAGGGTTACGTGCATAAAATATCTCGAAAAAAATGTCTAATGACAAATATACATCTCTTTGACATAATATAATATATGCTTCATTTTAGAATCGACTTTTTTCAATAATAAAAATATTGAATAAGATCACTATCACAACTTTTCAATTTTTAGCATATGTTTTATAGCCTTAAATTAAAATTTTATTAAAATAAACTTCATCTAAAATTAATATTACGATTTTGTTATTTACTCGACATTTTGCAACTTAATCTGCGCAAAACATTTTTGTACTCAATTATTTGTACGTATTTTTACTAAGAAAAAAATCAATGCAAAATTTGGTCGAAGAATTTATTATTCATCCAGGCTTTGGAGCGTTCTGTATGTATACATAGCATACCTGTGTTTCTGGGACAAGCACGTGCGTAGCCCATCCACCATCTCTAAAAATACCTATGGTATTATTTATACCACCGTATTTACAAAAGTGATAATTCGCATTATGACAATGATCGCATTTGTCGCATCCACTATTAGGATCAACGGCGACACGTTGACCGATTTTAAAAATGGTCACTTCCGATCCAATTTCATCGATAGTACCTACAAACTCATGTCCAAGAGTCAAAGGTCCATCCTCTTTACAGGGAAAGGATCCCTAAAATATGTATTATTTTAAGAACGATAATTTATGGAATTTCCTGCGATAACTATTTGGAATCATTGTAATTTTTTGCATTCTACAATTGCGTTACAATAATTATTAAAATAAATAAATAATATTTTTACAATAATAACATACTTCCAAAATATGAAGATCCGTCCCACAAATTCCAGAATACGCGACTTTAATTCGAACCTCGTTTGCCGCTGGTTTTGGAAGAATATCTCGCTTTTTCAAAGTAAGAGACTTGCTGGAAACATTGAAGCTCAAATATTCCATCGTGCGATTTGTAGCCACTTGAGTCGTCTTATTATCGAAAACTGGAACCCAACCATCCGATCATCCGATATTTATAAGTTGACGACATTAAGTAAACTTACACGATAACACTAATGTCTTATCAAATCCCGAGTGATTGCGCAAGACAGTAGAACGATTTAATATACTACCCAAAGGTCAGGGCAATTATAAGCAGATTAAAGCAAAAACAAAATAAGTCCATTGTAAATAAAATTATTTATGGAATCTTACAGTATTGCAAATTTGCAAATCACAGTGCAACGTTGCAGAGATATTACGGAGACGTGGAAATGAAAACACGATCGTAATCGTATCTTGTAGAATATTAATTAAGGCTCCTGATTAGTCATTGCGGCCATTGGAATCGTGACGTCTGCACAAGCGAGAAATGACACGTAAAAGTTTCTTGCCTGCCATTTTTAAATAAAGAGAATTTGAATAAAATAAAAAAATAGGATCGCTTTAAAAAACTTGTAAAAATGGATGGAAACTCCTTTTCCCCCTCTTCATACAGTCAGTAAATAGTCGTAAAAGGCACGCAAAGTGAAGCTATTCAGGAAAACTCGCGATTTAACATCTGTTAAAAGGAATGAAAAATATGCTTTTATGTATAAAAGTCAAAAATAACTTTACTTTCCATCCATTTCTGTGAATTTCATAAGTACGAGGTATGTCACATTTTTACAATTAAGCACATAATAACGAAATGGCACGCAAGATAAAATTCGTCGTCACAGTAAGGTTCGATATTCTCTTCAAGTCGAGTTTTCTCTTCACATATATTTGACTGTGATTGATCAGTTCTTACTACTTACGATACTGGCGTACGACATATTGTAGAGTTCTTACGACTTACGTCGCATAACATTATGTATATTGGGTCTAATTGTAAGACGATAAACAAGGTTCTAATTCCTACCGCGATATAGTGTCGCTACCGTCAACGCGGAGTTCTTGGCTGACAATGAGTAGTCAGGAGCCTTAAGAACGAAATAGGCTGCCGTAATATACTGTTTCTTCTATATGCAGTATATAGCATCTGTTAAAATGAGGTGAAAAAGACAACGGCTATAGAAGTCACGTGACAAGTCATAAAAGATTTAGATTTCAATCACTGATCTTATTCTCATTAGAAGACATTGAGAAGTATTTCTACAGAACATGTCTATAAACACTTCAGCAAGCTATAATTTATTAATTTACAATGTACGTTATATTGAGCAAGCATTTGAAATCTTTAGAGAGTCCCAAGTCTTTTTTAGGTGCGCTATGTCGATAGGACAGTTACAAAGAATATAATAAAAGTAATGGTAAAAATTTTGATTATAAGAGACATAGCCTTATATATATGCGATAAACATATATACGCGATTTAATCAATTGCCAATTTAAGTGTGAGCTCTACTTTTTTTCACCTCGAGATAATAATAATAATGCTGAAGTGGAAAATTCATTCATGCACGCGGCAGATCGACTTGTTGTGAACGAATGTCCTTCAATTCATGAGAAATTTCGGGTCAACGGGACACAGACCTGGATAACTGGTTGCACCGGGAAACCGGAAATGGGGTCGAGAATGACGTCATCTAGCTTCAACTACGTTTATTCAACCCTCAGGTATAAACTAGGTTACTAGGACAAGCTACCCCCGTACTGATCTTTTCACGAAAATAGTTTCTTTTCGCCAAAAATATGTATTAAATTATGCAATATGTGTACGCTTCTTTATAAACTAATAAACGAACTATAACGATGCAATCAACAGAAAATGTTGCTTATAATAAAAAGACTACAAATATATATCGACAAATTAATTTAAGGTCGTAATAAATCTATAGCTACAATTTTATTGACGTCATCGTTCTTAAGATAAAGTTATTTTGAAACACTGAGAAAAAAAATGGTTGCAATTACCATAATTTAACTATAATCATTTTTTGCACCAGCAGCTATATATTTGTAGCTGTATATTTATGGTAGAACTATAAAGTATAATTATTAATATTATTATTACTAAAATTAGAGGAGTAATAACCATAAAAATGGGATTCATAATTGTAATTATTTGACCATGCAATTATTATATTGCAAATATCAAACACTTTTCTTTTGATCTTTAATTGAATCGAAAATATATAACATCGGTGTTTAATAACAGAGTGTTGAAAAAATTTCATCTATTTGAGTGTATTTTCCAGACGAAAGTTATTCAAGAGGCAAAAATCTAATTTATCAGTCCGTTTTCCTAACGATATAAGAGAAACGATCAAAGCTTTAGCGACCCATGGAATGACATTTATACAAAGCAGTACGAAGCGGAATAATTTAATAAACGCAAAGTATTTGTAAAAACATCTGTGTTTTATTTTTATTTTTTTCTGCCTCGAATACCTAAGCGAGAAAATAACGTGAGCAAATATACATACTTAGCATTAAATATTTCACGTATGTATACATTCCAGATATTTTCTGTAGAAATTGCCCCGTCGCGTATTCATAAGTAGCCAATGATGGCACGTGCTTTGATTTCTGAACGAGCTGCAAGGTGAATGGACCGTTCAACGTCACAGCCACAAAGTAGGTCGCCGTGGACGGCTCTGGGTCGCGTATCGCCTTGTCCCTTGTACTGCCACCAGCAACGGCAGTACAGTTCATTGAAAAACCGGGACTCGATCAATATCTCCCCCCGATAAGCACATTAATAGCAATTTACGACATGGATAAATATCGAATTCTAGACTATTTATGTATAATAGTCATTCATCGAATCGAGTCGCCAGAGCCTACCGACTCGCATCTTAAGAGATGAAAATGATCGAAAAAAATTGTGGGGCGAAAGAGGGAAAAGGGGGAAAAAAAGAAGAGGAGACAGACGCATGAACGGAAAGCGGAAGCAGCCAAGTTGCTCAATGGAAGAGCTCAATCCCTGCGAGAGCGGATGCGAATGGGTAGGCAGCCCATTGAAGGTTGCACGGGTATTCGCATTGCGTATGCGCAGCTTTGACGTTTCTCTTTATCCAGCAAAAGGACATGGATACTCGCTTCGTGTCTGTTTCTCTTCGCTGCTCCACACGAGGGAATCTCATCGCGATAACGAAAAGAACTGCTATTGTACAGATATAATCTTACCATGAGAACTTCCGATTTCTGTTTAAAAAAATTTATGAACACAAGATATCCTCCCCCCCC